TAGGGATTCTATTCAAGTCTTCTTCAACAACTCCCTTCATCGGATAATCTCTTTATTAAGCTGTTCTATTCATTCATTTGTTTCATTCTGCTGTTTTCCTTATTCAGATTTTCACTTTTTCACATGTTAGTATTCCTTAATCAGAGCTAGTTAAACTGTTCTCTTTTTCAACTATTTTCCTTTATTCAACTGTTATCATTCCTTTGTTATTTCTTATGTTTATTGAGTAATAATATCAACTAAAGCAAGCTATTTGGTTGTTTGTCATTACTTCCTAATGAGCATGTAGATTGTTCATTTTATTATAGTATTAGTTGTGCTTGTTGATTTCGTTCATGCCTGATGGGGAACTCCAACACTTTCATCCTAAAATTTGAATGATTGAACTGCATTATTTTCTTGTTGTATGATTTTATGATAATCATATATGATTCTGAGGTGTTGATAGCATTTTAGCTTATTGAATCCTCTGTCCTTACTCATTTATTTTATTTTTTATTTTCTGATTAAGGAATCTCAAGTCAATTTTTGAGAAGTGAGGTTGCCCAGACTCCCTCTAATGATCACATGATCATTACTTTCAACCAATCAGAAATTGGAAATCTGTGATGATTTCTAATTTTTAACAGATTCTTTTTTCCATTCCATTTGAGATAGAGGTACTAAAATGAATGCCTATAAAATTTCATAATGTCTATAATCGAACAATTATAGACAATAAAGTTTTTAAAAAATGATTAAACTGCAATTTGATATTGGATGATACAATTAAGAGCACAGCTTGCTACTTTTATAGGGTGTAACATAAACTGTTCAGTATAATTCTATCATCTGTCTTGTCTGCTGTCATGGGCATAGGCAGGGGGGTTCGTGCAGCTCGTGCCCTAAACCTGGAACAACCCCCTTTATGAAAGATCAATGAACTCTGTGCCTGGACATATTGGATTTCCAAGGTATGGAGGTTCCAAGGTTGAAAATTAAACTGGGAAACAAGTATGGTGCCGAGAATGAATCCCATTCTCAGAAAGATGACTATTTCTGTGCAAACACTGTTCATTGCACTTTTATACTAGCATGTCCATATAGAGCGGGGGTTGGATGGTTTTTGCCCCCTCCAAATCTTGCCTAAAAAGTGTGAACCCTGCTACCCCTCCCATCAAAATTTTTGATTGTTTGTGGTCTGTTAATTAACCTTGAGCAATTTATTTTGCTTATTTTTATGAACTTGGTCAAAATTTGGGATATTACCCACATGTTTTTGCTTTTGCAATTGTTTGGTATTGTAATTTTGGTAAAACTCTAGAAAAGCATCGCAATACTAGCCACGCCCCCTTTGTATTTATCCTTCCTCTCCCAAACAGCAGATTAGAGGGGCTCTGGAATACCACAACGTGACAAAAGTTGGTATAATTTTAAAATTTAACAGATTGGAAAAGGTCAATTGAATTGGACCTAAACTAAGTAAAGGAGGAGGGAAATTAGCGCAACAGATTTTGGACAGTCATATGTTGGATTTTGGCCATTTCCTGGGGATTTAAACAGGTGCATATGTTAGTCTAATGCATTACCTCCAGGAAAATCACTTTTAGAGATGATAAAATAATTTTGACTTTGAGACAGGGTAGATGCAAACAAACCATCCACATGTTTTTTTCTGAAATGTTTTCCTGATTTTCAACCCCTTCCATCCCTGCTTTTTTAATTTTTCTTGCATCAGTATGTTGCGCTTTGACACACAGTTAATCCCTTGAAAGGAATAAGGAATCTTCTAAATAAAAATACAAGGTGTTATTTAACGGAGGCTATTAGTAAAAAATCTCAAAATGTTGGATGTGATATAACGTTTAAGTGCAAACCATTTGTAACTTTTAAACTGTATTAATCATCACATGTCTGAGATCTCTTGGTTTTAAATGAAATAGGAATTCCTATATGACATATACATAATAAGTTTATCTCATCTCAAACTGACTTTAGAGATGAACATATGAAACACCCTGTACAAATACTGGAGAGGGTTTATTATGCAACCAAAATAGACTCACTCTGGGAAGTGCTAGCACATATTTACTTGATTAATGAATCAAAATAGTAGTCAAAGTGTTTGATTGGATACTTTACATGTTCAGTTTATCAATTTTGAAAGAGATCACGGTTCATTGGTCATGCTCATGTTCAAATGAGTGAGTTAGGGTTTGTTAAATGCTAAAACTGGCAGCTCCTGCTCTCTCTCAACCATTATCTAAACTTATCAACAAGATTTTTGCGACAAACTGTTTCCCTCAATGCTGGAAACTTGGTAACATTGTTCCTATTCATAAGAAAAGTGACAAAAATACTCCATCAAATTATAGGCCAATTACACGTTTAAGCTGTCTTTCAAAAGTTACTGAGAGAATCATATTTAATAAGGTTTTTAAATTTCTTGTGGATCAGAATTTATTATATAATCTACAAAGTGGGTTTTTACCTGGCCACAGTACTCAATTTCAGTTACTGACAATAATTGATTACTTGACTGAGCATCTAGATGCAGGATTTAATGTAAAAGCGGCATTTTTGGACATCTCGGCCGCATTTGACACAATTCCTCACAACCTTCTTTTGAATAAACTTCCTAGTTATGGTTTTGGTCTGACGTATGCTCTTTGTTGAGATCATATTTAACTAATCGCAGTGTCAAAGTTGTCATCGATGGTCAAAGTTCTGAATGGTCAAAAGAAAGTTACATCAACTCTGGAGTTCCTCAAGGATCAATATTAGGCCCTCTTCTTTTTCTTATATATATCAATGACATTACTGACCATATTGACTCTAGATGTTATCTCTATGCGGACGATACGTACATCTACCAGACATTTCAAGCAGATGATATAGATATAAAGATGACTGAATTACAAAATGATCTAGATGCAATTTAAAATTGGTCTGACAAATGGTAATTAAAGTTCAAAGCGAGTAAAAGTGCTGAGTTAAATTTCTTTGACCCTAAGAAAGCAGAATTGCTTACTCCTTCTTTGACTTTGGGTGGTGACATTATTCCAAAGGTAAATAACCACAAGCATCTTGGTTTAGTTTTTGATAGCCAGCTTACCTTTGAACCACGTATTATTCCAATCAGCTAATAAAATTTATAAGTTGCTGAACCACTTGAAAAGTATATCAAGAAAATTGGTTGGTAAACATCTAAAGTTTATGTTCAACTCTTATATTTTGCCTCATTTTGATTTATGTGATATTTTGTACGGATGTGCAAACCTAACAACTCTGAAGAGTCTAGATAGGCTTTATTATAAAGCTGCAACAATATGTGCAGGAACAATTGCTGGAACCTCGTCTACTAAACTGTTTCATGTATTGAATTGGCCAACATTGGAGATTCGTAGAAAGATACATAGACTTACATTTATGTTCAAAGTGCAATGTGGAAAGGACCTCATTATGTTTCAACAATTTTTGACAAATACAAAAAGCCAAATATCAGAGATATTCATAATGTTATACCTTTTCAAGTTCCACTATGTCGCTCAAGAATACGCTCTAGATCTCCCACCTTCTTGTGTATGACTGAGTTCAACGGATTGAGCTCCAAGATTAGAAACTGTGATACAATCAAGACTTTTAAGAATAATATTAGTCAAGTGTTCTTGAATAATGATATCATATTGGCCTCAGAGTTAGGCATAAATAGGGCTGACGAGATATATTTGAATAGAATAAGAGTTGACCTCATATTTAATGCTCACCTTCATGCCCATAACTTTGTCAATGTAAATTCACCTGAATGTTTATGTGGTGACAAAAGTGAAACAACAAAACATGTAATATTTTCTTGTCCCATTAGACAACCATTCTACATAAGCTTTGAACAGAAGCTTTTTGATTTACTTCCGAACTACAGGCATTTATGGAAAAATAGACAAGATAAACTTGACTTATTTCTCTTTGGTCACCCATCTCTTTCTCTTAGTAAGAACCATGAAATACTTGCATCCAGTGCTCTGTTTATCAGACAGTGTTTCGAAAGACCCCAGGCAGTTTAAGCCTTTTACCATTTAGGCTTACAATTTTTATATTTACCCCTTATATAAGTATTCTATATGTGGCTAATAATGCTTTAAGCCTAGCCGCAGCACTATATTGTCCTGTCTATATCATATAAATAAATAAATAAATATATATATATAAAAAAAAAAGTTAGGGTTTGTGTGTAGATCCAATTTATAAGTTTACAATCATTGTGTACATGTATCTGCCTTTTATATATTCTCAAACCTTATATCTCAACTTAAACTTTTATAAAAACGGTGAAATAATCTACTCATTCATGTGATGAACCACGTTAAGGGTCTTGTTTGTAGAACACCGCCCCACAAAAGCTGGGTATCGAGGATAATGTACAGATTACAACAATGCAACAGATATTACATTCACAGTCACTGATTGATGAATAATTCGTGAACAATCCGGAAAATATTTATGTCACTTGAGTCAAATCAAAAGCTCTCTATTAACTCTATTTAACCCTTATTAATAATGGGGCTTCATCTTGAAGTGAGACATTTTGAAAATTACTAGCACATATGTAATAATATGTCAACTATGTGTTTACACGGTAGTGTGTCATTGTACATGCATTCTGTTCATTTTAATTATCATTTCAATGAGTATTATAAGTTGTTGAATGATTTGAAGTGCAATACAGGATATATTCTGCTCGAGTGATTCCGTATTGGAACAAGACGAAGTCGAGTGCCAATACAGAATATCAAGAGCAGAGTTTATCCTGTATTGCACTTCAAATCATTCTATAACACTTTAACCATGTGATCCTCTGTATTGCTACTGAGAATGTCCCCTCTGTACCAATATTTCCTGTATTGCGACAGAGATGATCAATGGGGACAATCTCAATCGCAATACAGCTTGGTAAAGTACAAGAACTTTCCAATCAGAAGGCTTTATTTTACATATCATACAATAATTATGTATATTTCCAGGATGAGTTTTTAGATGTTATATACTGGTTGAAACAGATCCTGGGACTACTGCTCGGTTGTGTCTGGGGAATACTACCACTGAAGGGATTCGTAGGACTTTTACTGTAAGTTTTTCTGAGAACAATTTGATTTTAGTTGATATACCTTAAAGGAATATTCCTTGCCAGACCCTTTCTCTCTTGATATGGTAGCTATAATCATATATATAGTTTCCATATTTAGCAAAACATGGGAAAATGTTTAAATATGGTCAATATTGATCATTTAAAAATCTAGTGCTTATTTCCAGTGAGCTGCCATCTTTTAAGATTTCTTGCAGGAAGTGATGTCATCAACTCTCAACTTCTATAACCTTGCCCATAACAGTATAGGAAAGTAGCACAAAATCACTTCTAGACAAGTGATCATTACTTTCTGTGCAAAAATATTTTCAGGGCTTGTCAACTTAGAATAAAAGAAGAGATTTTCAGAAGGATTAAATAAGATACAAAGTTGAAAAAGAATATTTAGCTGGTTTTGTAATTCTTAATAGCTCCTCACCTAATGCTATATGCAAAGTTGAGAGTCGATGACATCACTTCCTGTGTGAAATTTTAAAAGATGGCAGCTTACTGGAATTGAGCATCACATTTCTAAGTGATCAAATTTGACCATATCATTTGACCATTTCGCGTGTTTTGCTAAACATGGCAAGCATATATATGGTTATAGCTACCATATTAGGAGAGAGATGGTTTGGCAAGGAATATTCCTTTAATGGTCCTTTTTCCATATAGCTTTGAAATCTCGTTAGTCTCGTTTTTTAATGAGATTTTAGGAGATCTGTGTTTTTAACCATTTAATACTAAAATTTACTTCTATTTGATGGTATATTTTAATTCTGTGTGTAATTTTCTAACAAAACAACTTTGAATTGCACCATTATTTACCTTTATTCAAATTCTAATGATTTTCTAGTTGTCTAAAAAAGGTCGGGCTAAATTCCTATTGATACAATGCTGAATAACCTTTAAAAGTTCATTTACTCTTACACAAGGATCACAATTTTATCGTGTAATCACATTTACACATGTCAATAAGATCATATAGTTGTATTCCAATGGTGTTTTAAGTTGATCAAAATGGAATTACTTCTTAAATCAAGTGACTCTGGTAATACATTTACATGTCCTAGCCCGATTGTAGCCCTACCGATACCCATGATGCCATCTATTTTCCATTTATATGGAAAAAGGTCAATTGGCAGGCTGAACAGTTTCACCTTTTACATTATTTTCTAACACTACCTAACTACAAATTTTGCATTTTATTATGTGTTTTCAGAATGTTGCCATTGTGTCCTTTAATTGAAACATGTTCTTCATATTGAATTAACTCTTGTAACCTCCTACAAATTATTAGACTCCAGATTGAAAATATTCTTCTTCTTTTTCTTTCTTTCTTTCTTTCTTTCTTTCTTCCTCCTAACAGATTTTCTCTCCAACTATAACATCTTACTTAATCCAACTTACATGGTTAACTAAAGACTGTATCCGGCTTTGTGGGAAATTAGGTCAAATTTTTATCTAGGTCAAAGGTCAAGAACTAGGTCAAATCTTACATTTTCAACATTCTTCATCATATCTTCGTCAATATTCTTCGTAACTCCTTGATCTCTTCTTCATCGTGTAGCTTAGAAAAAGGCGAATCAATGATATGACATCAGAATTTTGATTACTCTTACCGATTTTGAGATATGGCGTCCGAAATGTAGGTCACGACTAAACATCCTCCAAATTGAATGTGTGAGCTAGGAAAAAGATGTAGAATTTTCTCAGGAATCCAAATCTGCAAACCAAATTTCGATCCGACTTCCCATTCGGAAATTATGACATTTTGAAAGCTAAAAAACGCCCCATGTTAAGTCAATAGTAAAAATATTTTTTTGAAGTGTAAAATACTAAATATAGACTGAATACAGCTTAACATAATGAAAGCCTGTGAAAGAAGGGGACCTCAAAAGCTATCTAGCTTTAAAATTTGGACACCAAAAAGCCTAGGTCAAAATCTAGGTCAAGTTTATAGTTTTAACTTATTTTTGCGATTCTGACACTACATTTTAATGATTTGATTTTGTATACAGGTAGCAAAGAGTGTGCTTATAGTGTTAGCCTTTTGCCGTCAGAAAGTATTTTGACCCACTTTTGAGATATAGTGTCCGAAAAGTAGGTCAACAAGAAAGGCTCTCCAAATTTAACGTATGAGTTATGAATTAAGGGTAGAATTTTCTCAGGAATCCGAATCTGCAAATCAAATTTCAATCCGACACCCGGTTCGGAAGTTATGGCATTTTAAAAAATTAAAAAATTCCTATTTTTATATCCCATGTTATGTCAATAGGGCAGCAGAAAATTACAAATTTTAAATCCAAAAGCTACCTTAATTCAACATTTGGACACTGAAAAGCCAAGGTCAAATCTGGGTCAAATTCAATAGTAAACGTTCTCTTGAAAAAATAAATCTTCCAGATTTGTTAACTTTCTTGCAGAAATTGCCTGCTCCCCTCCATCCCATTTTTCCCATCACCAGGCATGTTTATGGAAACATGTATTGTTTGGTGGGATTTGCTACTCTGTGGAGTTGCTGTTTTCTAGTAACACTAGTGATGAGATTGTTTTCTCTGGATTTTTGCAGTCTGGCAACTGTGAGATATGAAACCTGGGATAATATCATAAATATTGGAAATAAAACTTTTTTTCAGATTTTTCGCAATAAACTCACTGATAGTATATGTATACTTCAATTCCTTCCAAAAAGTTGATGAGGAAGAGTATGGTGGACTAGGAGAAATACTTAAAGAAGGCCTTATGACATCATTTGCAACATTTTTAGTGAGTACTCTTGAGACAGAGCAACATGCTGTGATAGACCCTCTTGTTTTCACATATTGTACACTATGTGGTCTTTCCAGTGATATATCAAACTTTATTGTCATAAACAGCATTAATTTTGATTCATTAAAATAAATTTGAAAAGTATATTTTACATCATTCAAAAACAAAATTGTTTCTGAAATCACTCAATTAAAATATGGTGTGTGCATAACAACTCCATGTACACATAAATGTTGTAAATAATAATATTGGTCCAGTCTGAGTCTCATTGTTTTGCTTATATTTGCTTCCAGGTGACTTGGATTATATTCTACTCAGCCATACATACGGACTAGCATTAACTATATATTAGGATTAATATTACACCACAAAGGAACACTCAGAGGACCAAAGATGATAAACAAACAAATAGATGGAGTAACACAACATGAAATGTTTTCTTTACCGTGCCATGAAAAATGGAAAATGAGACTAATGCTCTTATCTGATGCTCTGAGCTATGCACATTTTGCAGTAAGCAATATGATCAGCAAATCACTTGTTCAACATGGCTGATTTTTATTTATTTACAAACAATCACTGGATCTTGTATCTTGCCATGGGTATTCAACCTTATAAAATAACTGTATTCCTTGTTCATTGCTCATTGTTTATTAGTGCTCCATTGGCTTAAAGCAACACATTTCAAATGGCTGAAAATCGAATAGCGAAAGACGCGGGGCAAGCAAGCGGTGTTTTTTTCACAGGAAAAATTAAACAAATACCCTTGCTTGACCCCCTACTCCCCCCCCCCCTTAAAAATAAATCCAGATTTGTATTAAACCCAATGGAGTCAGATTTTGGTCAATTTTTTCCTGAAATTCTTATTATATATCTATAATAATTAATTAGACTGCTTTTGTTCTCTACAAGCCTGATTACTTTATTTCTTGCTGAATTTTCTCTCTATTTCCTCTCTACTTTCCTATTTCATGACATTGGGATACCATGGCAAGAGGTTGTGTCCTGACTATAGCTATTTTCTCTGGCTTTTGAGTAGCATGTCTGCAGAAACTACCACTTGATGTAAACCATGCATCGTCAGTTGGAGCATCTCCTCCAATTATTTTAAGAAAAGCGGTTTCGGCGAAATTGTTCAACTGGAGATGCCCCCTCAAATATTATCTTTGGATGAATAAATGAAATACATGTAATCTGAATGTATTTTAATATGGGGTTTGACAGAGGAAAGTCATTCCATTTTAGGAGCTACTATAAGTGTTCCCGTGGCAAACCATTTAACCTTTTGACTACCCAAATTGATGAGATTTCTCGTCACCTATGAAATCACCTTCAATCCTAGAGTGATGAGATAATCTGTGCAAAATTTTCCCCTAAAATTGTTCTAATTTGAACAATTTTCATCCAATTTACCCCAAAAACATGTTTTAAAATGTGTAGAAATGATCTCTGCCAACTAAATTCATTCAATCAAGCATGAACTGTAGTATATGTATGTCGTAAAATTTCAAAAGCTTGCAAATATGAAAAATTCTCTGGTTTTGAGCCGATTTTAGAGACTGAGATTCAAGAGGTTATGAGAGATTGATTCAACATTTTTTCATCAGTTTTTTTGGCATGTTTGGGGGATTTTCTATCCTGAAAACGTCTCTGTAAAGTCATGAAAGTCTTGTTGACATGCTTTCAGTCAAATCGTATGACTGATTTTTCTTGTTGGTATTACAATCTAAAATTGGAGGAATTCCAAGACATAACTTTGAAAGATTAAACTTTTTTAATATCCTATCTAAGGGTGTGATGTTGTTTACCTTGTTTCTTTTTCTTAATGACATTGGCAAAGGCTTTTCTGTTGCGCATCCTTATTGCTTATGGTCAAATGCCCATGTGAGGTATGGCAAGTGGTTTTAGACAGTCATATCTTTCACCATGAGTACTTTCTGGCCATAAACAAACAAAGTACTCATGGTGAAAGATATGGCCGTCTATAATCACTTGCCATACCTCACATGGGCATTTTTAAAAAATATTTCTGCAAGTGATTTTAAAATGGATTTAAATGTGCCCCATTCTTGTTGCATTCTAAATGGACACATAATTGGGATAAGCTTGTAACAGACTGTTAACATTGTAATGTTAGTTTCTAAATGTTCTGGAACTGAAAAAGGTGTGCACAGTTTGATGCGTTCAATTTAGGAAGATTGGTTAAATCAAAGATTACTAATGTTATTGATTAAAAAGTATGAATTTTTGAAAGACAAATTGATATAATATTACTGTAAATGTCATTAATTTGGTGAGCATTTTAATTTGGCGAATCAAATAAATCACCAAATTAAATAAACTAAAATTCCCAGGAATGTGAACTGTTTTTCGTTTGGTGTACTTCCAGTTATGAGAAATACACTGAGATGGTCAGGCCATTTGGAAGAAATATTCAAAAGTATGTCAAAAACACTGACAATTTTTTTTTTTTTTTAGGTTATTGTTATTTATTTCTATAATATTCAACATAATTATTTACATAGATTGTGAGGGGCCGAGGCTACATAGCATTATTGGCCCCCCTCTAGAAAGTTAAAAACATATAATAAATCACTGGAGTGTGTAGGATTGCAACGGACAGACGGTCGTCCACCAGGTCTTGCCCATGATGATGTATATGAGTGTTAATGAGAGATGATGTGAAATGAGGAGGATGGTCATTCTAAGATGTTATCGATATAATTTGAAGATAGTTGAAGGCATTTTGTATTCAGTTCACTATTTAAATTTTCATCTCCATAAAGTATAAATTCTATTTTTTGCTTTCTGGTTTTTCCAAAATAGCACATAATATCAAGATTGTCTAACTTTAGGATGTTCTGTATGTAATCATTTCTATGATTACATACACTGACAAGTATCATGAAATGAAATAGATCTGTGATTTATCCCCTTGAAAAACTGCCAAATCAAATACAGTAAAACATGTCTAATCTGAACGCCCATGGGACCAGCCGAAAGTGTTCAAATTGGCAGGGGTTGAAATTTCGAGGTTTTTGTTGGTCGGGGGGGGGGGGGATTTTCATTGTTCAGTCCATTATATTGAACACATATTAATACTAAGTCAGAAAACAATACATGTTGTTGATGAGTTTATTCTACAATAGGCCTATAGCCTATATGCTATGTTTTATTTACTTTTTGAACAATTTCATTATTTATAGTAAAATAGACATCCTCTCATAGTTACAAGAATTTTTCATGAGTATTCATTCAAAATGATGTATAATCCTTCAAAATATCGAGGGCATTCAAGATGTCGGATGTATGCCTTTTTAGAAGGCATTTTAGTGATAGGATATTACGAAGTTGAATTTTTTCTCTTTCTCGTGACACGATCTTGTCTGCAAATGTGTCCGTGTTGTCTTTGTGATTATAAAACATTTAATGATTGAATCTTATCTATCATAACAGACCCATGGGATATAAAACAGTTAAGACCTTTTCATAATCCAAATCAAAAACATCCAGTAAATTTTCAATAGGGATAAACCAATTATCTCCTAGATTCTCACCTTTCTCTTAATCCAAATCAAAAACATTCACGTTATTTCCAGTAATGATAAATCAATTAACTTCTTGATTCACACTTTTCTCTTAATCCAAACATAAAACATTTGTTTATTTTCTAATAGGATAATCCAATTAACTCCTGTATTCACATCTTTCCAATGCAGTTAATTAGGACAATATTTATTTGTTACATTGTATATGTAAAGATAAATAACAACTATAACATTGACTCAATATGTGGCTATTATTGAAATGTCCAGACATTTGATTTCTGATAAAAATGTTCAGATTAGACAGGTCATTTTTTCAAATCTGGTCGTTCACTGTTCAGATTAGGAGTTGTTCAGATTTCAAGGTTTTTTCTAACATGGGAGTCAATGGGAGGAAAAAATGGGACCGAAGAAAAGTGTTCAAATTGGAAGGTGTTCGGATTAGACAGGTGTTCAGATATACAGGTTCTACTGTAGACACCAATATATCTGATATCCCAAAATCGCCAAATTAAGTAGCACCAAATTAAAGATGATTTTGGGAAGATTTAATGTTGTGGTTGTTATCAATCCGCCAAATTAAAACAGCCGTCAAATTAATGCAATTTACAGTAGTACACTTAACCCCAACCAGTTCTTTGTTTCAAGACTGATGAAAAAAGAAAAAGGATGTTTATTGATGAAAAGTGGAAAGATATTAGGATGTTCTAAATTATATTCATTACTAAAATTTAGCAGCTTCTGATGATAATGCTGTTTTCTGAGAGAACATATCCAGGGTGCCTGAGCTGATTGCAGCACACACTAGCAAATTGTAGCACAGACAATAATACTTGTTGCTAAGTAACTTGTTTATCATTGACATACAATAGTCTGATGATAGCTAAGCAAAGAGGATCCATTTATGCTACATGTCCCTCAACATTCTCCCAAGGAGGCCTCTATTGCCTCATTACAAGTACTGAAAACTGAAATTGTCATAATAATATAATCTGTATGTCCATGATGTTTTTGTACTGTAAATTACATTTACTAATGAATTCATTTAAAACTTGTTAAACATATGTGTAATTACAGAAATAAAGAGAAAAATGTTTAACTGAATTGTTAGTTCTGGTTTTATTATAATTAGGCCCACAATGTACATGTACAATATTTGTGTTTTTGCTGGAGAATGTAAGAGTAGTGAACATATTATGTGACAAACAGAGCTTCAGCCATCTTTACATCCCAGAAGTACTCACATAGAAGATGGTATGAGAGGTGACATCACAGTCATAGATAATAATAAAGTTTTCACAAGTGTATATATCCATATACATGTATAATAGTACAGCTATCCATACATAGATATCTATTGGGACACATAGAGGTGCTTAACCCTATCTAAGGACACATATAGAGCAGTTTTGTCCTCCAAATTCTGGTATCCTATTGGTCCCACCTCACAGTCTGCACATATTAAGTATTTTATGGTACCAACTGTCTTTAGGAATCCTACATTTTCAAAGTCAAACATGTCAGCAACTACCCAGTAATTCTGCAACATTTCCCCATCTTCTATTGTTTGATCATCTGACTTCTTCTTCATATGTGGAAGGAATGCCTGAAACAGATACGTTAACTTGTCATTTGGATAAAGTGATGGCACCTCAGTCACATTCTCTAAGGTAACCATACTTAGAAATTCTTCGTACTATTGGCTCGAGAAATATTAAACTTTATCGTATGATCTGTAAAATGAAGCCTTCTGATTGGTCAGTTCTTGTGCTGTACCAATCTGTATTGCTACTATTATGTTCTAAGTCATCCCTTGTCCTAGTTCAACAAGTTAAAATTAATCCGGCGTATTCATTAATCTGATCTTATCCCGTGCCAGGATTGTCTAGTCCTGAGAATGTCTCAATCTTTTGCCTGTATGATTACAACATGGGAGAATTTTCTACGCCTCTTACACTTAAGATACCTACTTCAATAGATTCCTTGGAATTTTAGCATTCTTTTCGCATAGTTGAATCCACAATTATCTGGGTTTATTGGCAGAACGAAGAAATTTTCCTTTTTGATCGCAATATTTGCGTGTAATATTTTACTTATTTCAACCGTCAAATTCCTCCATTTATTGGTACTTCCGGGCCAGTCAAATTGGGAATCCCCTTTTAAATCCAACCGCCATCTTGAAAAGTGATGGAATCTCTCTCAATGAAAAAGAAAAATGTTCCCGTTCTGCCAATAAACCCAGATAATTGTGTATTCAACTACCTGAAAAGAATGCTGAAATACCCAGGAATCTATTGAAGTAGGTATCTTAAGTGTAAGAGGCGTAGAAAATTCTCCCATGTTGTAATCATACAGGCAAAAGATTGAGACATTCTCAGGACTATAGTCCTGGCACGGGATAAGATCAGATTAATGAATAAGCCGGATTAATTTTGAATTGTTGAACAAGGACGAGGGATGACTTAGAACATAATGGTAAGCAGTAACTAGATACATGGTCACATCACATCATTTCGTTATTTTAATCATATGAACTTGTTGCCAACATTTAGGCCTAAAATTAAACTTTACAAAATTAGATCTAGGCCTAAAGTGGTGAACATAAATAATCATATATGGTCCCAAGAACAAAAAATAAATAAATAAAAAATAATAACTAACACTATGAAAAAAGACATTCTGTCACATATGTCATAAATTCTTACCTCAGTGAATTGAGTGCTCTATTTTCTCTATCCCGGAACACACAAATATAGTGGAATTTGTGTCCATAATGACAAATAGGAACTTAAAAATTTGAAGTGATATTCACATGTTAATGCCGACTCTTCAAATGTTGAGGTGATTTTGGAGCCCGATTACGCCGCAAGGAGGATTGGCTCCCAGAATGCAACATGACACGTGTCAGCTTTCAAAACGCCGTGAGTAAATAAGGTTAACTGATGTTGCATTCTGGGAGTCAGTCCTCCTTGGATCACAAACATTGTGATTCATGAAAACATTCGTTCGATTTGGTAGGAATTTAGAGTCCATTTCACTGTTTAATTGCGTCAGTAAAACCTAAAAATTAAGAAATCTAAATAACATTGTGCAATAATATAGGGAAAAATATATTTCTATTGTACATGAATGACATTTGTATATCTTGGATTGCTTCTAGTTTGGCTTATAAAGTATTTGGATGCTTCTCTGCCATGTTATTTTCGATAAGATTAACATGGCTGAAATTCTTCAAATTACAAGAGGGCATAGGCTTATTGCACAAAAAACTAAGAAATCTGAAATATACAAATATCATTCATGTACAATATGAATATACTTTTCCATATATCATTTCACAATGGTCTCCCGATTTCTTATTTTTGTGGTTTTGCTGACACAATCAAACGAGACCCTATCTGTTGCAAGACTAACGCCTGGCATAACCGTCACCATGTTATTCAGTGTTTTTAAGTAGCGCAAGGATCCTGCCATGACCGTGGTAATGTTATCGTGAAAGCCTGGTATAACCGCGACAATGCTGTATTATATTGCAAGGCTTGGCATGACCGTGACAATGTAATATAGTACTGCAAGGCTTGGCATGACCGTGACAATGTTATATAGTATTGCAAGTTCAGGTATGAGAGTGGTAATGTAGAAATTTACGATTAGGACTGCTATAACCGTGACAACTGATGTGTATTGCAAGGCCTGGCATGATCGTGGCAATGTAATATAGTACTGCAAGGCCTGGCATGGCCATGACAATGTAATATAGTATTGCAAGGCTTGGTATGACCACCGTGGCAATGTGATATAGTATTCCAAGTTCGGGTATGATAGTGGTAATGTAGAAATTTATGATTGCTATAAGTGACCGTGACAATGTGTATTTCAAAACCTGGCATGACCGTGACAATGTATTATGGGATTGCAAAGCCTGGTACAGCGCTTGCATTAGGTTAGAAAATTTGTGAGTCCCAAGAATGCATTTTTTTTGAAAAAGTGTGTCCTTTGAAAAAAAAGTGTGTCCCCTATTTCTAGCCTGTTTTGAGGTATAACTTTATTTTAACTGGCTGTAACCAATCGAACTCTGTTTCCCATTCGGGAATGTATGTTCTAACCTTACTTGTCATATTTTCAGTTTTTGATTTCTTGTCGCGAATTTAAAACGGAAGTAAACGTTAAGTATGGACTGAATAAATGCATGTTCGTTCATTCGACAATGAATACATTTTATTTCATGGATAACCTAATATTTGTTTCTGAATAGGAAAAACTGTGGCGTGTCATGGTTTCAAATTAAAAATAAACAAAGTCGAAAAAATTCGAGAGAATCATGATTATTTGTAAATATTCAACATGTTGAGCCTTATTTACGATTCAAATAAAGGTGAGAGATCATAATTATTTGTTTTTGTTAGGTATCATTGTAAACACATTGTAGTATTGACCTACAAAAATTTTGCGTCCAAAAAACGGAAATATTTTCAATTTTTGCGTCCTCCAAATTATTTTTGAGTCCTTAACATGTATAGGACGCCGTTAGTGCAAGCCCTGCCGGTATGACCATGACAATGTAATATAGTATTGCAGGCCAGGTATGAGGGTGGTAATGTAGAAATTTAGGCTTAGAGCTACTATGACCGTTATAATGTATTGCAATGACTAGTAAATATGTATGACATTAATGCCAGGAATATCCTTAACAATTTTAAGTGATCGTCATTACAATTAAACAGTTTAATACTATGATCATGGTGTTTAACTACCTTAATCATGTCAAAATCAAAATTACTACTATACATAATATTCACATTCGCTTATAAACCACAATAAAGGCTACGGTCGTGCCAATTGCTTCCACGATAACACTTCCAGGGTCATGACAGGCCTTGCAATATAATACAGCCTTGTCACGGTTATACCAGCCTGTCACGGTTATACCAGACTTACATGATAACACTACCACGGTCATGGCAAGATCCTTGCGCTACTTAAAAACACTGATTAACATGGCGACGGTTGTGACAGGCTTAAGTCTTGCAATAGATAGCATGTGAATAAAACAGTGAAATGGACTCTATCCATCATTTGCAGGTATGAAGTTTTGGGTTCATTTATTGTGCTACTTAGAGTGAATGGGAATTATTTTTCTACCGCTTGGGGGAGTTTGAGACATGAAAGTTAGAATTTAGCTCATTGTGACAACTTTTGATGGTTGAGGTTTATTATGTCTCCGACTGTAGACTACTCACTTTTTTCTGAACAAATGTAGCAGCCAATGGTTTTAGGACTACTGATTGACATCTTTCACACACTACGGAATTCACATTCTTACAATCTTTCACTTGCTCAGCCACTTCCTTGGGTAATGTAGATCTGTCCACGCTGTAGCTTTGTGCTGCCTCCATTTTACAAAAAAGTTTGCACAAAAACTCCAAAAATTAACAGGAAGTAACTCATGCACGAACAGTCAAATCAAATTTAGTCGATTTAGCCAAAATCACACCTGTCATTGTGCTCAGTAAATGAGAAAAACAGAGGTGGAAAACGACTAACTATGGTATGTGTGGATTGTATACCATTGAGTTATGTCTTCTTCCTTTTTTAACCCTTTCATTCGAGACAGTCTCTTTTAAAACTGGAGTCTAAATAATAACAATTCTGTTTATTAACAATAGATTTTATAGATTTGTCACTCCCCATATTTCTAATCAAAGGGAATTCCCTAAAAATTTGACGTAGGGGGTATTTCCTGGTAAAGAAGATAGAAATTTGAAAAATACGAATATATGATGCATGTTGAAATGAATTGACCATATGAAAATACATGATAAGGTAAGAATTAGATCTATATGTTTTTAAGAGATATACATAAATTGCAATAGCATGTACAGTAGTCTAATATTGTAATGTCCTAAGCAGCTTGGAGGAAATGTAGAATGTCTCGACTTTTTGGTTCTTTTGAACATACAGTGGGGATCATAAAGAATTGCAAAAGCTATGAAAATTACATGCTGTCGCACATGTAATAAATTCTTACCTCAGTGTATTCAGTGCTCTATTTTCTCCGTCTGAGTAAGTCCAAATATAGTGGAATTTGTGTCCCTAATGACAAATAAGAACTTCAAAAGTTGAAGTGGATATTCACATGTTATGCCGACTCTTCAAATGTTTAGGTGATTTTGTCGCCCGATTGCGCGGGAACGGAGGATTGGCTCCCAGAATGCAACATGACACGTGCCAGCTTTCAAAATGCTGTTCCGCCATTTTGAAACCTGTCATGAGTAAATACGGTAACTGATGTTGCATTCTGGGAGTCAACCGTCCTTGGATAACAAACATGGCGATTCATGAAAACATTCATTCGATTTGGTAGGGATTTATCCATTATTTGCAGGTATGAAGCTTTGGATTCATTTATTGTGCTACTTTAGTGAACGGGAATTATTTTTCTACCGCTTGGGAGAGTTTGAGACACGAAACTTGGAAATAAGCTCATTGTGACAACTTGTGAACGTTGAGTTTTATTTTTGTCCCCCACTGTAGGCCAAGGGTTAATAGTCTAGTAAGCCGTCCCGTATATAGAAGAGACAGCTTACTATTACTTTTCCCTTGGCCTATGCTTTTGAACTTGAAGGAGACCCCATCTGTTGCAAGACTTATGCCTGGTACAACCGTCACTATGTTATTAAGTGTTTTTAAGTTGCGTAAACCATGCCATGACGTGGTAGTGTTATGTGAAAGCCTTACTCCCGTCGAGAGCTACTTAGATTTTGAAAGTATAGCTCTCTATCGCTAGAATCAACAGCTTAAGAATCCTGACTTCAAAGAAAATTCCAGGGAATTCAGCTGACTCATGTTGCACATTATATACCTGAAAATGTATCCTACATCGCCATCTTTCATTCAGCTCAACTATAGAACGTCTCACTGCCCTATGTATCAATCAGGACTTCATTTTATTGGTCGTGTCAAAAGTTTTGGCCAGGTATATTCAATATGGCGGCTTGACGTTTCCCAAGTTGCGCATGCGTCGATAGTATTTCCGTTTAACCGCCATATTGGAAATGGGTATCAAACAATGAATTCAAAAAACGATTAGAACTCCTGATCGCCATAGAAGCACATCCGCGATCCTACATGCACGGGGAAAGTAGACACATATGAGCCCATATGTAGGCTACAGTTTGAGACAAACAGTAAGCCGCTGAATGGCGCTGATCAAATTTAGATGTCACAATTCTTCAGCTGGAGATCCTCACGATGGAGAGCTATACTTTCAAAATCTAACATGGTAGCTCTCGACGTGAGTAATATATATATAACTTTTATTGACATATAGTATCATAACATGATTACATTAGTCAGAACTATGGTAGACTACATATCTAAACTACAAAACACCAACTAAACTAAAAATACAAAAAATATATAAGGTAACAATAATAGTGTGGTGCACACACAATGCATTATGACCATGCTAAATTCTTAAATGAATGGTAAATGAATTTGCCAATATGTCTTTGCAAGGTTACATTTTTACTAGAAATAAGATTGACAAATAAATTTTCACTTTGTAAATCCAAGTTAGGTAAAATTTCACGGGCTTTTGTATATAATATTTGCCTATTTTCATCATTTTTTGTACAAGCTAATAAGAAATGACATTCATCCTCTACATCTTTACAAATATTACATACTCTTTCCTCTAAAGGTTTTGGTTTTGGCTTTGTATGTCTTCCAGTCTCAATTGCTAACTGATGAGAACTCATTCTAAATCTACTTGTAGCCAATCTATACTTTTTATTATCTAGTTTCAAGTACAATTCTTTACCAAAATCATTTTTAAATAATTTGTACGTTCTCAATATAGGATAAGTGTTCAAATCATTTTTCCATTTTTCTACAAACAATATTTTTAATTTCTTTTCAACCATATTCACCAGATTTTCAGTATCCAGATTTTGATTATTCCAATAATCTAGTAAATCACATTTTCTGAGTATATCATAAACCTTGCTTGACCAACTTTTAAACCCTAGTAATGAAAGCCTGGTGTGACTGTAGCCTTTACAGTAAAGTGGGGTGCAAAAATAAATCTCAACCCTCAAAAGTTGTCACAATGAGCTAAATTCTAAGTTTCGTGTCTCAAACTCTCCCAAGCGGTAGAAAAATAATTCCCATTGACTTTAAGTAGCACAATAAATGAATCCAAAGCTTCATACCTGCAAATGATGGTTAATCCCTACCAAATCAAATGAATGTTTTCATGAATCGCCATGTTTGTGATCCAAGGAGGATTGACTCCCAGAATGCAAGATCAGGTAACCTTATTTACTCGTGACAGATTTCAAAATGGCGGAACAGCATTTTGAAAGCTGACACGTGTCATGTTGCATTCTGGGAGCCAATCCACATTCCCGCCTATTCCGGCTCCAAAATCACCTCAACATTTGAAGAGTCGGCATAAACATGTGAATTCCACTTCAAATTTTTAAGTTCTTATTTGTCATTATGGACACGAATTCCACTATATCTGGACTTACTAGGACGGAGAAAATAGAGCACTGAATACACTGAGGTAAGAATTTATTACATGTGCGACAGCATGTAATTTCCATAGCTTTTGTAATTCTTTATGGTGAGCACTTTAAAAGGATCTAGTGCACTCTCCATTATTTAGGTGTAACATAAAGCATACAGGATCACCTCATTATTCCGACACGGAAATCCGTGTGCGCTGTACCGAAAAAATATGTCACTTATTTATTATTTAAGTTTAGTTTGGATCAAAATAGATTTAAGAATACAATATATTTCATATAATAAACAAAAGATGTACGTAATGTTGATAGCTTGCAAAGATATTTCGTGATTTATTTTTCAAGTTCTGTGCACAACACTTAATTTCCCAGTCCCTGAACATTCCATTCGATTTTGTTATGAATGAGATTAAAGAACACTAAACAAGCTTTCCAATGGTTTGATGTACACGTGGCTCGCTATTTCAAATCATATGTAATATTGTCAGTCAGCAAAAAATGTTTTGTCATCTGTTAATAAAGTTCAATGCGTAACAGTTGATTCACTTCTGTTATAAAGAAGACAAGACAAGCTTCCCAATGGTGTGTTGAGTGTTGTATATATGGCTAGGTATCTCCAATAATAAAAATATACGTAATGTTGTCAGTACGTGAAAATATTTCATCATCTATTACACAATGCGTTACATTTAATTTCAATTCAATTCACTGTATTTTCTTTTTTACATTTTTATCCAGTTTTCTGCCCTCGAGAAAGGATCCTTGAATTAAAGGCTATAGACACCACAGAATACATGTTAGAATTCTGGCAGCAACTTTTTAGCTCACATGGTGAGCTTTTGCAATCACTCACTTGTCCGTCTGTCTGTCCGTCCGTCTGAAGAAAAACATCAACAAAAAACAAACATCGATAAAGACAAAGGGGAAGGGGAGTGTTACTGGTAGAAAAAGCTTTAACCCACCGACGTGTAGTCACAAGTCTGCAGATCCGACACCAAACAAGACAAAGAGGAAAAGTAATAGGGAGAAAGAAGACCAAGAAAGAAGAAACTAAAGAAGACAAGAAAGTAACAACAGCAGAAACAAAGAACAAGAAACTAAGAAGACAGAAGAAGTAAGAAGGAAACAACAGCAACTACAAATAGATTTTCAAGCTGGACTGAATGATGATGACATGAACAGCATATAAACAAGATGTCCGTCCGTCCGTCCGTCAACAATAGTGGCACGTTTTAAAACCTCTGTCTATAGGATTCCTGTTTTAAGTTATTTCTGTTCAACATCAATACAGAAAACTCCCCTATGACTCCTGGTTCAAAAGCTCCCCTATTTTCAAAATGTCCGCCAGTTTTGTCTCACGAAATTGACTTTTGACCCATTTCCTAGCTTTACAAATAATTTCAGGTGTCCTACATTGTAAACATCCATGTCAATGTAAAGAATAGATATATGAAATAATTTTGTTACAAAAAATCAGCAAAAAATTATATCCATTTTTTTTATTTTCAGCCATTTTAGTTAACATTGATTTGTTCATCTGACTATCGGAATCCACTTTTCCGTCAACAACAGTGGCACGTTTTAAAACCTCTGTCGATAAGATTCCTGTTTTAAGTTATTTCTGTTCAACATCAATACAGAAAACTCCCCTATGACTCCTGGTTCAAAAGCTCGCCTATTTTCAAAATGGCCGCCATTTTTGTCTCAAAAAATTCACTTTTGACCCATTTCCTAGCTTTACAAATAAATTCAAGTGTCCTACATTGTAAAAATCCATGTCAATGTAAAGAGTAGATGTATGAAATAATTTTGTTACAAAAAATCAGCAAAAAATTATATCCATTTTTTTATTTTCAGCCATCTTAGTTAACATTGATTTGTCCATCTGTCTCGCAAAATCCACTTTTGGACCATTTGCCTTAAACCCTCTGTTGATAGGATTCCTGTTTTAAGTTGTTTCTGTTCAACATCAATACAGAAAAC